TTCACACATAAAGTACTTCATCATGCTAGTATTTAAGGTGGGTGGAGTGTTCCTTTAAAGTACTTTGGCCAGGGTATGATTGACATTTATTTTCTTGTGAACTTGTAATGGAAAAAAAAATTATATAGCTACAGCACAGCAAGAACTTATAAAAGTGCTTTATTTAACATTTCCATAAATAATATAGAAAGCAGAATCAAAGTACTGTGCCATAATGTATTTAGTATTTCCAATATGTATAAGAGATAATTATATGCAAATATCTTTCACCCTGTCTCCACTCATTCAAAAAATCATTGAAAACTCACTTCTTCAAGAAAGCAAAACTATTAAACTGTTAGCAGATTTTTATCCCCCACCCCCCACGACTCCTCTCCTACAGCTGTCAAAAATTACCTACTAAGCCCTCAGTGAATACTTTTCTAACAACCTATTTTGTACCCCTACTTTTACCCTTTGTGTCACTATACCCCACTCCCTCTAGAATGCAAGCTCATTGAGCAGGGCCCTCCACCTCTCTCTTCCTGTATGACCAATTGTCTGGTTATAATGACATGTCTGTTAGTCCACCCATTGAACAGCGCTACGGAATCTGATGGCGCTTTACAAATAATAAAATAATAATAATATCTATAATTCTAAAGATTTTCAAAAAGATATATATATGTATAAATATATCTAACAAATTCTCCTAACAGTGTTACCTATTCAGCCTCCACTGTGTGAAGTAAAAAAAGAAGATTAACTTACCTTTACTCACTCACAGCACCACCCTGCTATCCCGCCCCCCCTTGCTGAGGTCACCAAGATTGATGATCTCAGCCAATCCAATGCTTCCCCAAGAGACGTATTGGGAAGCTAGTGCACATGTCCGGTACATTGCCATGCTGCGATAATCAAATGCTCTCTTTGAGTGGCTTTTGATTCAGAACTGAGTCTGATTTGATTCTCACATGTAGAGTGCCTTTAGTGGCTGTCAGGAAGACACCAGAGGTATGTTAACCCTGCAATGAAAACATTGCTGTTCCTACTAAACGTTTTGCAGGATTAAAACAGCAGGTGCACTGCAGTCAGTCCACTTAATTGAGATGAAGTGGTCTAGTGCCTTTAGTGTCTCTTACACTAGTGTCTCTCCTTTCACATGGCAATATCTGTGTTAGAAGCTGGGAAGAAGGGTTAGCGATATTTAGGTTAGAGGCTGGAGAGATGGGTTAGAGATATTTGGATTACAGGCTAGGCAGTATGGTTAGATATCTTTGGATTAGAGGCCAGGGAGAAGGGTTAGAGATATTTGGGTTACAGGCTAGGCAGTATGGTTAGAGATCTTTGGATTAGAGGCCGGGGAGAAGGGTTAGAGATATTTGGGTAACAGGCTAGGCAGTATGGTTAGAGATCTTTGGATTAGAGGCCAGGGAGAAGGGTTAGAGATATTTGGTAACAGGCTAGGCAGTATGGTTAGAGATATTTGGATTAGAGGCCAGGGAGAAGGGTTATAGATATTTGGGTTACAGGCTAGGCAGTATGGTTAGAGATCTTTGGATTAGAGGCCAGGGAGAAGGGTTAGAGATATTTGGGTTACAGGCTAGGCAGTATGGTTAGAGATCTTTGGATTAGAGGCCGGGGAGAAGGGTTAGAGATATTTGGGTTACAGGCTAGGCAGTATGGTTAGAGATCTTTGGATTAGAGGCCGGGGAGAAGGGTTAGAGATATTTGGGTTACAGGCTAGGCAGTATGGTTAGAGATCTTTGGATTAGAGGCCAGGGAGAAGGGTTAGAGATATTTGGGTTACAGGCTAGGCAGTATGGTTAGAGATCTTTGGATTAGAGGCCGGGGAGAAGGGTTAGAGATATTTGGGTTACAGGCTAGGCAGTATGGTTAGAGATCTTTGGATTAGAGGCCGGGGAGAAGGGCTAGAGATATTTGGGTTACAGGCTAGGCAGTATGGTTAGAGATCTTTGGATTAGAGGCCGGGAGAAGGGTTAGAGATATTTGGGTTACAGGCTAGGCAGTATGGTTAGAGATCTTTGGATTAGAGGCCAGGGAGAAGGGTTAGAGATATTTGGGTTACAGGCTAGGCAGTATGGTTAGAGATCTTTGGATTAGAGGCCGGGGAGAAGGGTTAGAGATATTTGGGTTACAGGCTAGGCAGTATGGTTAGAGATCTTTGGATTAGAGGCCAGGGAGAAGGGTTAGAGATATTTGGGTTACAGGCTAGGCAGTATGGTTAGAGATCTTTGGATTAGAAGCCGGGGAGAAGGGTTGGTGATATTTGGGTTACAGGCTAGGCAGTATGGTTAGAGATCTTTGGATTAGAGGCCAGGGAGAAGGGTTAGAGATATTTGGGTTACAGGCTAGGCAGTATGGTTAGAGATCTTTGGATTAGAGGCCGGGGAGAAGGGTTAGAGATATTTGGGTTACAGGCTAGGCAGTATGGTTAGAGATCTTTGGATTAGAGGCCGGGGAGAAGGGTTAGTGATATTTGGGTTACAGGCTAGGCAGTATGGTTAGAGATCTTTGGATTAGAGGCCAGGGAGAAGGGTTAGAGATATTTAGGTTACAGGCTAGGCAGTATGGTTAGAGATCTTTGGATTAGAGGCCGGGCAGAAGGCTGGGGACCATAGGATTGAGTTATTACCATAGGCTGAAGTTATTATTTAAGGTTAGACATCTCCAACTTTATAACTTACGACAGTACTGATAAAATGAGACCAAAATGCCAGCCCAAAACAGAGAAGACCCATGAAAACAGGTTCATTGGCTACAAATTATGCTTGTTCAAAACCTGGCAAACAAATATAATTGCTTTGGATATTCCTGCTTTGTGTCTATCTTTTCCTCCCATAATTTACCACCATGTGACCTTCTGAATTTACTTTCCTGATTTATTCTTTTTTTTGTAACTGTTGTGATTCTTATTCTTTTTTTTCCATCTTTTTTTTGTAACTGCACCAGTTTCTTTAAAATCTTTGTATCTTGGATTCTCTGAAAAGAGATATTAGGGGGGCAGAGGCAAAGATTATATTTAGGAAAAACAAGGCAGCTGATCTGAAATTAGATTATTATGTTTGCATGGTTTAGCTCTGTAAGGGCAAACCAATAGTTTTCTTTCTTCTGATTGTTTTTGATAAAATATTTATATTAACTTGAAAAAAATGTGTTTGCAGGTATACGTTAGGCTCTCAGTAAATCTGTTTATCCCTTATAAATTTACTGTGTTTTGTATAACTTCATTCTATCTTTTGAGTTTAAATTTGCTTCTTTCTTTGAATCAGAAAACATAATGGTGAACAGTCTTTAACTACATCTAGGGTATTTTTTTTTATATAATTATAGTTTGTTTAAAATGTACAGAAAAAGTACAAACTGGTAATGCAGTAATGTAAATAAGCATATAAAAAGTAAATGGCCTTTTTATTAGCATAAAATATCATTTTGTGTGATTTTACTCTATAATGAGATAAATGTGTACAAATAATAAAATAATAATAATATCTATAATTCTAAAGATTTTCAAAAAGATATATATATGTATAAATATATCTAACAAATTCTCCTAACAGTGTTACCTATTCAGCCTCCACTGTGTGAAGTAAAAAAAGAAGATTAACTTACCTTTACTCACTCACAGCACCACCCTGCCATCCCGCCTCCCTTGCTGAGGTCACCAAGATTGATGATCTCAGCCAATCCAATGCTTCCCCAAGAGAAGTATTGGGAAGCTAGTGCACATGTCCGGTACATTGCCATGCTGCGATAATCAAATGCTCTCTTTGAGTGGCTTTTTTATCCAGAACTGAGTCTGATTTGGTTCTCACATGTAGAGTGCCTCTAGTGGCTGTCAGGAAGACACCAGAGGTGTGTTAACCCTGCAATGAAAACATTGCTGTTCCTACTAAACGTTTTGCAGGATTAAAACAGCAGGTGCACTGCAGTCAGTCCACTTAATTGAGATGAAGTGGTCTAGTGCCTTTAGTGTCTCTTACACTAGTTATAAAAGTGTATGTGAGATGGGCCTCTCTCCTTTCACATGGCAATATCTGTGTTTAGAGGCTGGAGAGAAGGGTTAGAGATATTTGGATTACAGGCTAGGCAGTATGGTTAGAGATCTTTGGATTAGAGGCCGGGGAGAAGGGCTGGAGATATTTGGGTTACAGGCTAAGCAGTATGGTTAGAGATCTTTGGATTAGAGGCCGGGGAGAAGGGCTGGAGACATTTGGGTTACAGGCTAGGCAGTATGGCTAGAGATTTTTGGATTAGAGGCCAGGGAGAAGGGTTAGAGATATTTGGGTTACAGGCTAGGCAGTATGGTTAGAGATCTTTGGATTAGAGGCCGGGGAGAAGGGTTAGAGATATTTGGGTTACAGGCTAGGCAGTATGGTTAGAGATCTTTGGATTAGAGATATTTGGGTTACAGGCTAGGCAGTATGGTTAGAGATCTTTGGATTAGAGGCCGGGGAGAAGGGTTAGAGATATTTGGGTTACAGGCTAGGCAGTATGGTTAGAGATCTTTGGATTAGAGGCCAGGGAGAAGGGTTAGAGATATTTGGGTTACAGGCTAGGCAGTATGGTTAGAGATCTTTGGATTAGAGGCCGGGGAGAAGGGTTAGAGATATTTGGGTACAGGCTAGGCAGTATGGTTAGAGATCTTTGGATTAGAGGCCAGGGAGAAGGGTTAGAGATATTTGGGTTAGGCTAGGCAGTATGGTTAGAGATCTTTGGATTAGAGGCCGGGGAGAAGGGTTAGAGATATTTGGGTTACAGGCTAGGCAGTATGGTTAGAGATCTTTGGATTAGAGGCCGGGGAGAAGGGTTAGAGATATTTGGGTTACAGGCTAGGCAGTTGGTTAGAGATATTTGGGTACAGGCTAGGCAGTATGGTTAGAGATCTTTGGATTAGAGGCCGGGGAGAAGGGCTGGAGATATTTGGGTTACAGGCTAGGCAGTATGGTTAGAGATCTTTGGATTAGAGGCCAGGGAGAAGGGCTGGAGATATTTGGGTTACAGGCTGGGCAGTATGGTTAGAGATCTTTGGATTAGAGGCCGGGGAGAAGGGTTAGAGATATTTGGGTTACAGGCTAGGCAGTATGGTTAGAGATCTTTGGACTAGAGGCCTTCTCCCCGGCCTCTAATCCAAAGATCTCTAACCATACTGCCTATTATTTAAGGTTAGACATCTCCAACTTTATAACTTATGACAGTACTGAGAAGATGAGACCAAAATGCCAGCCCAAAACAGAGAAGACCCATGAAAACAGGTTCATTGGCTACAAATTATGCTTGTTCAAAACCTGGCAAACAAATATAATTGCTTTGGATATTCCTGCTTTGTGTCTATCTTTTCCTCCCATAATTTACCACCATGTGACCTTCTGAATTTACTTTCCTGATTTATTCTTTTTTTTGTAACTGTTGTGATTCTTATTCTTTTTTTTCCATCTTTTTTTTGTAACTGAACCAGTTTCTTTAAAATCTTTGTATCTTGGATTCTCTGAAAAGAGATATTAGGGGGGCAGAGGCAAAGATTATATTTAGGAAAAACAAGGCAGCTGATCTGAAATTAGATTATTATGTTTGCATGGTTTAGCTCTGTAAGGGCAAACCAATAGTTTTCTTTCTTCTGATTGTTTTTGATAAAATATTTATATTAACTTGAAAAAAATGTGTTTGCAGGTATACGTTAGGCTCTCAGTAAATCTGTTTATCCCTTATAAATTTACTGTGTTTTGTATAACTTCATTCTATCTTTTGAGTTTAAATTTGCTTCTTTCTTTGAATCAGAAAACATAATGGTGAACAGTCTTTAACTACATCTAGGGTATTTTTTTTTATATAATTATAGTTTGTTTAAAAGGTACAGAAAAAGTACAAACTGGTAATGCAGTAATGTAAATAAGCATATAAAAAGTAAATGGCCTTTTTATTAGCATAAAATATCATTTTGTGTGATTTTACTGTATAATGAGATAAATGTGTTCAAATTACTTAAATAAAGCCTCAATAAAACAGAATTACTAACATTTATGCATTATTTATGCATCAGCTACTTATTTGGATTTGTCCTCAACTACTACCTTCCTCAGGTTTTTAACAGGTTATCTTTAGAAGATATGTTTTACAAGGCTTGAGACCGGACATGACATAATCATGTCTGTAATCGTGATCTATAACCAACCAACCAACTATAAAAAAACAAAAATGAAACACACAACAATTGAAAAAGTTATCACAAAAATCCATGTGACCTTTATACAAACAATGTACAAGCTAACAAAAAGATAGGAACGGACTTTGTTTCACAAAACACCTTAGGTTTCTGAAAGCTCGAGCGGCATTACAACTTTGGGCAGACAACCATTAGTACCAATCATAATAATGATACATGGACATAACACATGCGCACATACAACAGTGATGTGCATGTTCTCTGGGCATGTTCACCTTGAATTACTTAGAAAAGTACCAAATTTTATTAAAATATGAATTTTTGTAAACTTATAAAAAAAGAGGACACAAGTTGCACACATAAAGCACTTCAGTTAGGGATCCGGAGTGTCCCTTTAAAAGGAGAGAGCAATATAATATTGTGGGCAATTTATCAAAAATAGGTAGCACACACTATGCAAACCAGTAGATGTCCCTGAACATTTAGTACTACTTTGCACCCAGAATAGCACATGTTCTGCTTCGATATATCTTCCGCACATGACTTTATGCAAATTAGTAATGGCCTAACACGAGGATCCTATTTCGGTAACAAGAAGCATTATGAACAGTGAACATTGAATTTACAAAGTTCTGCTAGAGCTGACTTGTAATTTAGCTCCAATAGTGACCTCAACAGATACAATTTAGTTCTCAGAATACAGAGCGATTAAAATAGACTTCTAAAGAAACAGGACATGTGCTTGATGTGACAAATACAAAATATCAAATACATGAACACAAATGTATGAATTCATTCATTAGCTGACACCTACATGCCCCACGTCTCGTAATCAAATTCCATCACAGAGATTTGTCCATTAAAAATTTAAAATGTGTCAAAGACAAGGAAAGAAAGCGTGTGCCTCTGCTACACATAAACTAAACAGTAACAGGTTTTCAGCTGCTCTTTAACAGACAGATAAGTCTTCTTGTCAATCCGAATGTAAACTACGAAACCTCACATATGTCTTATTCGCTGAGAGAAATACAATCTGCTTTATATCCAAATTATGCTATTTACGAGCTAAATTAAAGTTGTTTTTTTGTAGGAGAAAAGTGTTTATTTTATTTGTCACTTTATTTTGAAGTTTTACCATGTGTAATTTTATTATTGCCAGATTTTGCAAACCGTCCCCCGTGGGGATTCTAGTTATAAATTCAGTTGTTGCTGCTTATTCAGGGAGCTAATTAATATATTTAGCAGGAATATGACTATATTGTGTATAAGGTTTTGCCACAGGAGATATATTTTGCCAGTACTTTCACATATCTCCACCATATAGAAGTTAGATAACTGTGAAACGTGTATTATGGGAAATTAAAGGGTTATTCCAAACACCATGACCACTTCATTGATTTGAAAAGAGTAAAACTCCATTACACCAGGAAGCGCCTCTAGTGGCTGTCTGGAAGATAGCTACTAGAGGAGGAGTTAACTCTGCAAAATAATTATTGCAGTTTCTCAAAAACTGCAATAATTAACATTGCGAGGTTAAGACGACAAGGGCACTGCACACAGACCACTTAAATGATAGTATCCCTTTACCTGTCACAGGTAAAACTCCTCCACCCGCAATGCCATTAACCAGCCAAGGTCTTGACTGGCTAATGTAAATTCTGTGCAAAGGTGGTGTCTGATGCCAGCACGGACTGCATACTGGTGCCATAATGCCAATGGCAGCATGCCCCTCCTCCCCTCCACCTCTCTTCTATATTCCCCTCTGTTCTTTTTCCCTGACATCTCTACCCTTTATGTGAGGGGGCAGTGAAATCAGGCAAGGAGGATCAGGCTCCAGGGACAACTTGGCCTTGGCACTGAACCAACCAACTTTAAGTTTTGGGGCAGACTAGCTTAGAAATGGTTACTCTAACTGAAACCAGTATTGTATGAACATACAGATCACTGATTGGAGTAACCCTTTAATGCCATTAAGGGTTTGAGGAGCTGTATTAAAAGATGCATCTAGAACCCAGAGATGGCATTATTATAACTCAATAAACAATACACACGATCCAGAGCACTCTCCTATCTACTAAACAGCAACTTCAATGTTGACATTTTATTCATTTTTTTTTTTAAAGTTTCTATTTAGCCTTGTACTGCAGAGAGCCTCAGATGGATTTTTGTCCCCAAGTAAATGGGTTAATCTCATAAGAGCAGACATTAGACTGTGAGAGTAGGACCTGCCAAAGATGGGGTACATTGATGTTGTGGCAGGCTTATGCAATGTATGATTATATAATGTAACTAAATCCCCATTATTTTTTGCCTAGATTAGGTGTTTTTAGAAAAAACGTAAAAAAAAAACCGAATAAAATGTCAACATTGAAGTTGCTGTTTAGTAGATAGGAGAGTGCGCTGGATTGTGTGTATTGATTATTATAACTCAGTGCATGCTTCACCGTTGTGTATCTTTCATATTATAAAATATTCTAGTGTTAGGGCTAAGGTCTAGATTAGGATCAAGGCTAGGGTTTAATCTTAGTGCTGCACTAGCCATACATGTCCCAGTCTGCCAAATGTTGGCACTAGCTGCCATTGTTTTAATACAGCCCTCTATGAATAATGATATGCTGGCAGAGGAGCTCCATGACCATGACTTTATAATATTGGTTTACTAGGAAAGCATGTAAATTGGTTAACTATGATAAGGGAAAACATACTGGTATGGGTGATTCTCAGCTTCCATAAAACCATCTTTAACAAGCATGTTCATATTACCAAAAACTAGCCTAGCCTTGGCCCACAACATCCTATGGTTCAAAGATCTCCATATCATTAGTACATAGCTCTGTGGAGTTAGCACATAGAACCCTAAATACACAGTATCATTAGTTTATCACACAGCACCTTAATCAAATTGCCCATTCAAGAGCTTCTATTGCCTGAGTAGCACTTAACTCTACATGGTTTGAATGTGGATTTTTTCCATATTGTTATAAATGTCACTCCATGTTTCCCCCCTGTATCTTGAAGTCTATGTTCAAATAATCTCTTACACAGATTTCCTACTTCTATCTTCCAATATCTTACGTTCCCTCGAAAAAAGCAGCCTTCTTGTCAATCAGTTTTACTCACTCCTATAGGACATGATATGAGTAATTGGTAGCTGGAGATCGATCAGAAAGACACTATCAGAATCCTGCTAATTTGTCTCAGTCTTGGCGAAGCTGGAAATCAGAACGTACACAGGATGTGGTGTGTATGTAAAGCAAAGATGAAATCTCTTTTATTATAAAGATTGATACATAACCAAGATACTGGGGTTAGCAAACTGCTAGTTACTCCATTGAGAGATATTTCTCAAGCGACTGATAACTAAGTGACAAAACAAAAAAGAAACATCGAGAAGATTTAAGTCCATTGCTTAGAAATCAGAGACCAAAGTAAAACATTGACCTGTGTCACCAAACTAAAAAGAAAACCTGCAAAATTGAGGATATAAGAGACTTTATTTATCAGGAATATAAGAGTTTGAGATATTAAACATATACAACTGTCTGTTATTCACTAAACACTAGATTTTAGTATCGAATGTAAAGTATCGAAATTCTCAAATTTACTAAAACAAAATATGGGCGGAATTCGGCCTGCCAGAGCAAATCTGCAGAAATCGTCTGGTTGTATTTGGCGTCCACTTTAAAATCAGTGCTTTTCGAATCCTCCTAAAAAAAAGTTCCTTCAAGCGAACAATAATTTCGTACTATTTGCTTGCTGGCAGAGCTATCACCCAGCAGTCAAATATTGAAATAACTCTCTAGGGTTAACTGTGGGGGCTACAAAAAAAGATTATTTTGCTAAACACTAAAGTGAAGAAAAATAATATGTCAGTGTGGATAGTACCAGACTATCATGGGCATAACCATATAGCTAACAATAGAAAAAAGAAAGAAGGTATGGGAGAAAACAATCGGTAAGTAAATCACAGAGCATTCAGTATTTGTGAGAGACTAAACG